AAGGAGGAGGAGGAGGAGGAGGAGGAGGAAGAAGGAGGAGGAGGGGGAGGAGGAAGGAGGAGGAGGAGGAGGAAGGAGGAGGAGGAGAAGAAGAAGAAGAAGAAGAAGAAGAAGAAGAAGAAGGAGAAAAAGAAGAAGAAGAAGGAGAAGAAGAAGAAGAAGGAGAAGAAGAAGAAGAAGAAGAAGAAGAAGAAGAAGAAGAAGAAGAAGAAGAAGAAGACCAGCAAAGCCCAATGATAACTCCCCTTCTTCTAGCCAACGAATATCGTCCCCCTTGAGTGTTTCAAACAAATAATAATAATGATGATGAATGGCCAGACCAGAATCAATGTCCAAATCCCTCTCCTACTGCCAGCACAACATGAGGTCCACCATAGCGATGGCCGCCTTCCTCCTTCACGAAGGCCTGTCATGCTTGACTCTGCCTTGAAGCTTCTTGGTGTAGCTCTACCCCAACGGGGACCTTCCAGATCCAGCGCCCACCAAGGTGATGAAGATGGCGTCCACCATAGCCAGGTAAGTACCCTTGGAGCTCCCCCTTCCTAGTCCCCTTCTTCCTCCTCCAGCCCGAGTTCCTCCACCATGGCCAAGGTGGGGAGTTGGGCGCTCTTCCTCTTCCCGACAACGGTACTCCAGCCAACTCTGCAGCAGCATGTCGCCAAACTTGCACGCAGCAAATGAGGAGGAGCACTTCGCTCCTCCTGGAGATATAGCGGCCTACTTGCCTCTTGGGCACTCACTTCTAGGCCGCGCGACCTCCAAGCAACCGGTACCTCCTCCCTTTCGGAGGGAAACATCATTGCAGACTCTCATATTGCTCGTACAGGCCCTAGACTCAGACTACTTGGACTGGTACCCGCCTAGACCTAACCTACAACTAATGGGCCTCTACAAATGCCAACTTTTGTCTTCTTCTGCTCGGCCTCCAGCACCCGACACATCTACCGCTACTTGGTGTGGTGCCGACCTACCTGCTACTTGAGTATTTTTTCCCACGGCTCAAAGTGCCACCGACCTACTTCCGCC